ACACTTTTCTCCCTACTACTTCTTACTCTAGCAAACTGCTACGCTCCCTGTGTCCCTTAGATGCGTTTGCCACAAGATCCACCCACTCCCTATCTTCTTCATCTGTTCCTGACCATCTGCTTGGGCAGTACAGAGGGTGAGGTGTACAGATTACTTCATCATGCCTAGAATAGATTATGTCCATGCTGCAATATATACTCAAATCTCTCAGACTCAGGCTTAGACATGGGGTCCTAGGACCCTTCTGGGATGGAGGGTCCAAGCCAGAGTCAACCCTTGACCCAGGGTTCAGGCCTTAGTGCTCTGAAATATTGATACAGCCCTGCTTGACTTTGGTCCAGGAGTCTACCAAAAGTGTCCCATTATTCCACAGACCATCTTCTTTTGTCCTCTCTATTGTAAAAATCTCCAATAGATACAGCTGAATATAGAAGCCTCCTGTTAGGGTACATCAGCAACTCAGTGAGTCAGCTTTAACCCTTCCATTTTCTTCCAACCACCAAAGGAATAGATGCAGATCAGGATAAGTAAAGAACACAGCAGAGAGGGAAGGAAGGAAGGAAAGAAAGAAAGAAATTCAAGCCCTCTTCAAAACCATCAGCCAGACCAGATTTGGCCCACAGTCTGTCTGTTGGCTACCCCTGAGGTAGGATAAGGGCTAGGAGTAGAGCTTGGGTAAGGCTGGGGCACAAACAGGTTCAAGAGTGGGCTGGAAGTATTGAGAGTAAGACAAACTGCAAGAAAGTAGGAGAGTTCCTAGCCAGGTAGTGTTATTACACAGACTTATCTCCAGTTTTGGTGGGCCTGGAGAAATACCCGAGTGTCCTGGTCCTCTGACCCTGGCTCAGACCAGGGAGAAGTTGCTGCTGCATGCCCGATGGTTAACTCATTGCTGGAAAGGTAAATCAGGGAAGCTAGGTTATTGCTGCATAGCTGAGTGATGATTCAGTTCAGCTGGATTGGAGGGACAGCTGAGAGCACAGCCCTAGTTTGGCCATGAGTTTGTCTCACAGTTATGGCCTCCAAAATGTGAAAGGCCTGACATGTTAGAAAAAATCTTTTGTTGCAAAGCCACTGACCATCTTCCCACCCTCAACCCAAAGAAACCATGATATTTTTGTAATACAAAAGCAGCTTGGCATTTATAACATAGACTGTATGTATGTAGGACTGTAACTGTGGTTAACCAGGCTGTACCCAGGGAGATTCAGTGGACCAAAGTCTCCCTTTCACAATATACTGCAGTTCAGTTTTGAATATATCATTTGATGTTCTTGAAATTCCACATGCATTGATTCTGTGCTCCTCCAGTGAACTATTTGAGACAATACCCTTCTTTGTCTTGTCTTGTTGCAGGACCCTTGACCTCCACTGGCTGCTACACCTCCATTGTCTGACCTCTGTGCAGTTATGAGCCTGGCCCAATTTACCTTCACAGACTGTTCCAAGAGGAGCATTTCATGGTGAACTTGAGTCAACCAACAGGTCAAGTACCAGAAGTGGAGGAATTTAAGATTGGAGAAGAGGCATGCCAAGAAGCATGAGGAAAGACTTAGGCAAGGGATGGGCAAGACAGCCTCCATGAGCCAGATCCAGCACACCAAACCGGTTCATCTGGCCTGTGGTCGCCCTGCTACTCCCTCACCCCCAGGCCAATCAAGATCTAGTGATGGGCGAGTGCATGAAGTCTCTTCCCCCCTGCCAAGGCACGCAGCACCAGAGGGAACCACCAGTTGTTCAAAACAGACAATAGGCTAGGGTGGCCACATTTCAGGAAGCTGTTATGGAGCCTGGGATATGCATTGTTTGACTCAGGTCTGCATGCTGCATTGTTGATGCCAGAGCCCCAGGTTCAAGACTGAGTTAGAAAATTCTTAAAGTTGGGTTAAGAAACAGACACTCAAGTCCTGGGTTCACCAACACAGGTCAGCTGATTTGAATCCCATTAATCCTGGACTTTCACTACAATGTAGACATACCCTTAAGTCCAGGTAACTCGTGCAAAGGTGTAAGGGGAAGTTCTTACTCCCCTTCACAGGCATGTAGTTCAAATTATAATCTGTCCTTTTTGGCTGATCTTTGCATTTTTTCAGGTAACAGCTACATAGACAAATGTAAAGCAACAAACCAGAGGTCAAAATCAAATTCTTGCTATTCTTTAGGTACACAGAAAAAAAACCTACACCTTTTTACTAACTTACCCTATTGTTTTAGGGCTAGAAAGGTGCATGAAGATGGATGGCCTCCCTGTTTTCTCAGAACTTCCTGAATTCGCTTCTGGCCAATGAGAGCTCTCTTCAGACAACTGGAAACAATTAATATAATCAATTGAAAACGTTGGAAACTATTTTGGGGTCATCTTGAACTATAAATAGTTTTTTCCAGAGGTTTTTGCAAAGCCAAATGAATGTGGGAAAGAATTACTGACAAAAATAAGCCCATGAATGATGTGGCTACTTGCATGCAGGAGTTAAGATCATTCATGTGGTGATCTGCAGAGACAGGACTTATTTATTGTGTGAAGCAAGCCAGTGAAATGCCTAACCAGATTTTTAAAAATTTCTTAGTAAATATTGTTTCCAAACCCTACCCCAAATTCAGACTGAATTACAAGTTTATAGCATATGCACACTCATCAAGCAACTGCGTGGGCAGTTGACAAGAGTTGGATTTTCCCAATTGGCACAATTGCTCCTGTGAGGTCAGAAGCAAAACTCCAGTTAACTTGAATGGGAACTGAATTAAAATAATACTGAAGATTTCCCTGCAAAATAATTAATTTCAGTGAAATATTATGGAAATAATATTCAGGTATATGGAAAAACCAGCTATGTATATTTGCCATTAAAGTTATATTTTTACCTGAAAATTTGCTTTCTCTTTAGCTTTGGAAAATGCCAATGTATTTTCAGTACACATCTGCCTTCCTTCCTTGGATAGCTCAGACTGTGGTGGCTGTAAAACAGCAGGTCTTATGACAGACCACTGCTGAATTTGTGACAAGGGTCCTTGCAAAATAAAAAATAAAAAGTTAATATGTACAACCTTTCCTTCACTTTTCAATAACACATTTTTGTCTTTCATTTTTGTGACTCATAACATAGATGTGTTGTAGAGTTTTAAATTAATTGTATTTAGTGTCACTATTAATACCTGCCTACCTGTTTTTAATTCCATCTACAACCCCTGCCAAATAAAGGAGTGATGTAATATTTAAGTAAAACAAATCTTTACCAATTGTCATAAATCGATTTTATTGTTATATGAAGCTTGATCCTGCACCCATGGAAGTCCTGCACTCAGGAGTTTTGCCTTGCCTTCCATGGGAGCAGAATTCAGCCCTTTATGTAACATTATGTAGCAGACATATATACTAAGTGTGATAATCATTCCTGACCAGTGGTCCAGAAGATGGCCCATGAACCCCTTACGTTTTCAAAATAGGGCTTTGAGTGGACTTAAGTGGTTTACAGGCTCATAATACAAGCCTTCTGAACAATAGGTAAATTTCAGCTATAGAGTGTAAGCTACATGTGCCAGGGACTATCTATGTTTTACTGCTCTGTACAGTGTTGAGAACACTGTGGATGAACAACTAATAAATAACAGTATTAACAAAAGTTACCTTTTTCTGTTCTTGTGATGTCATAGTTTCTTTGGAGAAGGGCTGAGGTCATGAATATGTTATTCTTTACTGCAAAAGAAGTGTTTATCCACAATGTTGAATTGTTAATATGCATTTCTGTAGCTCCCATCATTGCAGCATCTGAGCATCACACAAACATTAATGAGCTTATTTCACACACCTCTTCAAGGAAGGAAGGGGAAGTGATTTCCCCAGGAACTCTAAGGCAGAGTCAGGAACTGAACACAGATGCCGTTGGTGTAAATCACCACTTTAACCACAAAATTGTCTTTTGTTAGCTCTACAGCTCAGTGCACAGCCACAGGTATGATAATGTCATCCAGTCAAACTATCCTTTCCCAAGAATACGATGGTGAATGATGGAGATCTAGCAGGTGCTGGGAGTGATGACCATCATGATAACTGTAATGCTGGTCAGTGTGCGGTGCTGCTTCTGCCTTCATATGGTTTCCAAATTCTACCCAGAACTATTCAGAAGGGCTGCCAACACTGTCCCATCAATAGTATGCTTTAAAACGACATGTCTTTTTAAAGGTGAAATGCTTGTTCCATTCCAAGAGGATTCTGGTTTGTTGCCATACCAATTTTGTACCCTTACCAGATTATTATTGATTATGGGTTTCCAAATACTTTTAATTCAAAAAGTTTTCAATCTGGCAGTCTGCTTCTTGTTTCCCGCCTCCTTCGCTTTTTCATCCCCTGCCCCTTTTCCCTTTGGGCTTGCACATCCTAAACTCATATCTCCAGTCATCTGAAGAAGTGGGCTGTACCCATGAAAGCTCAACACCATCTACACATTTTGTTAGTCTATAAAGTGCTACCTTATTGATATATATGAGGGTGATCCCTCTTAAATCTTGGCTAGAATGGTGGGTTTTCCCAGTATTGAAAATGGTGTCACAGTACGGATAAATATGCAAACCACAGTTTTAGTTCAAACACACCTAGCTCTCACCATTTCTTTAACTCCATCTCATGTTTACTGTTCATAATATTTGACATAATATTTTATAGGTCAATCTAGCCTTCTACCTACTTGCTACAAGCCTTTGTAAATCTCAGAAACATCTGAGTTGCAACTAGTAAACTGCACAACCCAGTGTAGAGTATGGCACTGACTGCTTGCATCCCATCCAATCAGCAGCTGTTCTGCATGCAGAGTATTCTTTAGCACTATGGGATATCCAATACTGACTGAGAAATCAGTGCCATCTATTGAATCATGAACACATCTTGTTGAACATCATGAAGTTCCTTTTCTTCATTTCACACACAGATTTGGCCTAGCCATTAGCTTAGTCCCACAGAAATAGCAATTCTATTTTGTTATTTCACTGATTTTCTGTTTTGTGTGAATATGTACTGAATAATATTTGTAATTACCTGGCTGTGATGGAGGAAAAGTAAGAAGAGTAGTACAAGAAGATGATCTCACTCTTTTCTGAGAGAGTGCTGTATCTAAAGATGTGAGAGACTGAAATTATACTTTATTCAAAGCACAGTATCTAAATATGGATTTTTCATGTTTACAAAATGTTCTGCCATGGATGACCAGAATCTATCTGTACCGGCAACTACAAAGGCTGTGTAGTGTAGACTTCAAATTTCCCACGTTGCTAACATTAGTGCAGTTTCTACATAGAGAAGGACCTGGCAGCTGCCACCATTTTGACCATACCATCATCTAGACCAGGGTTTCCCAACCTATGGGTCGGGACCCAAATATGGGTCACCATTACATTTCAAAAGGGTCACCAAGTGTCTCCTCAGGTGGCTCTGCCCTCCCTCCTCCCCCCCATTTTTGAATTGCCTTGGGTCACCAAGTCTTCCTGAATTGTCAAAATGGGTCCCCGCTGATCTAAACCTTTTCAGATGATAAGTGCTACACTAGTCTACACTGGTAGGCCTAATGTTGCTACCACCAATGATACCAAATACAAAAAGTAGGGAAAATATAGTTCAGGCATAGCCTAAAATTCTGACAATGCTAATCAGTCTTTTTTTTAAGTATGGAGCTGTTCAGGACTAAGTAGATACAGGAATGATCTAGGTGTAATTTTAAGGATAGATAAGATTAGCTTATTAGTATCCATTTAACTAAATGAGGGGGCCACAATGGCAGGGTGAAACAAAATATGATTTACCTACATTAAGTCCCAAATAGTGAGGCAAGCATCTGGCCCCATCACTACAGGAACAACACACTTTGAAACAGACATTATACTACACATACTCAGTACACAGTGGTGTTATTCAGTGAGTTGTGTTAGTATTCATTCAATATTGTGGAAATAACCCCACCAACTTGAAGGGGTCTCCAAGTCAGATGATAACTGATTGGAGGGGAAAGCCCTTGACATAGCTTCTTAATTCTAGCCCCCTCCCACCTCCGCAGCCCAGGATTATGAGGTTGAACCATGAATATCTTCACATGATAGAAAATTCTATCTTCTCTTGACCTAGTCAAAGAATTCCAGGGAAACTCATGATTGAAACACATGGATCTTTCACTTCCTTATGTGGGAATAACTCATGTTTGACCTGGGGCTCTCTGTTAATTTAAAACCAGTGTTTTTCATACTTAGGAAGGTGCAAGTTTCTCACTGAGTATAACTTGCAGACTAATGTTGATATTTAAAAGTTTTGGTGACTTGGAATTATTCTAACCAAAATGTGCATCTAAATAATGAGAAAAATATTTTTCTTGCTTATCAGTCTAGAAAACATAATTACTACAATTATAACTGATTTGAGCTAAATGCCATACCCATGTAAAACTGTGAGTCCGACGTTTGGAAAGTGAAAGATGAAGACCTTGCCCGTTTCCTGGAACAACCAACGAAATCTAAGAGAAATATAGCATATCATATCATACACCATAAAAATCAAAATTTGCAACAGATTTCAGTAAAATATTGCGTGCAGAATTCTAATGTTAAAAGTCTAAATTAAAGTCTGATTTGGACCCGACCTGAGTACAGACAATCCAACCTAACCCAAGAGTGTTGAGTCATTTTCAGATCCAACTCAACCCAACACTTCCCCTTGGAACCTGAGTCAGTGTAACTGCGTTATCTCGGGGCAGTTGGCATGCTGAGGCTTCCCACTCCCCAAGTGTCATGCCTGCAAATCATCTCCAGCTGCCTCCTGCCCGTGGGGTCAGTGCAGTGGGGGCTGAGTGCCTCCTACTGCTAGCCACTGCTGCCTCACTGTGCTGTGTGTGCTGCGGAGTGAGAGACACTGCAATCTAGGGGTAGCAGCCACTGTGCTGACTCATGGTGAGACGGAGATGCTCAGAGCTGTCAATAACCAACCTGACCGGAGAGGTTTTGGGATGTGTTTAGACACAACCTGACCCAAACCCAACATTTGTAATTGGATCGCATTGGGGGCTCTTGATATCTCACTAAAGGCCTGATCCAAATCCCACTGAGATCAATTCCACTCCCACTGACTTCAGTGGGTTTTGAGTCAGGCCTTCTTTCACTGTGTTGCAGGCTGTATAGCACTACGCTGATTTTGAACAGAGGGCTGAAACAGGACTCTGCATCCACAGTACCCTTCCATGTATGGGGTTTTAATTATGCAATTATTACCATTTTCAGCCTTGCAAACCAGGTCTTCTGCAGGCCTCTAGGAACAAAAAAAGAACAAAAGGTGTCAATGGGTATATCTACACTGCAGGAAAATATCCCAGGCTGGCCTGTGTTAGCTCACTCACATTGGTGGGACTATAAAATGCAGGGTCAATGTTTGGACTCAAATTGACCCCTGGCCTATGGAATGCTTCCCCCTTGAGGAGTCCAGGCTCTGCAATCAACCCCTTTATTCCCTGATTTTCAGGCTGTTTCAAGACGAAAGCAAATGAAAAAGCTTAAATATTACCTTGAAAGGTCGTCCTTTCTTTTCAAAAACAAATATGGGCTGCGCAATAACTGACGTCTCTGGAAAAGGAAAGAGGTCAGTTTTAGACCATATGAATTAAACTATTTATCGAAATGCTGCTTTTACTAACCTGAAAATCACTGAAGATTTTTTATCAAGGCATATATCATCTTCTAAAAATATGGGGCTCTGTCCTGCAGGGCTTTCCCAGACAAAACTCCCAGTAAGCCTACTGTGAATTGTGCCTAGGTAGAGCTGCAAGATTCACCCCCATATTTTTCCAATATTAGACCAAAAATAATGCTTTCATCCAATAGGATCCCAAAATACTTTACAGACTCTGGTCTTCAGGCTACTTCCTCTTCATTTCAATAACAATACTAGATAGATTTAACAGATATTTGGGGCCAGATTCTGATGTCTTTACTCAGTTTTTGCTTAGACTTTGTAAACAGTACCTTATTACACCACACTTTCTTATATGAGGCTTGATATTATACCCAAGCTAATGGGTTAATGGGGTGCAGCTCTGACTTGCATGGCTGCAGGATCAGACCAATTATTTCCATCCCTGTAGTATCTGAGCCCCTGTCAAAAACATCTTTTAATTTCCTCCAGAATTCAGTAACTAAAAAATGTTCCCCTGCAACCACTTCAGGCAAGTCACTCCTCTCCCTCCTTGAATCTCGTCACAGGTTCAAGATCTTTTCCCACATAAAATTCATAAAACTCCTTGTCATAACTTTCAAGACTATGCATTGGTTTGCCCCAGCACACCACATCTCTCTCATTTCCAATCATTCACTGTTATGGACCTGATCCAAAGTCCATTGAAGTCAATGTATCTACTTCAACTGACTTTGGTGGCTTTGAATCCCACCCTTTGCCCTTTCATTTTCTCACTATGATGTATCCTTACCTGGCTACTTTTTGGTGCTATTCCATACCCTTGGAAAGTTACCTCTATTCCTCTCTGTCAAACATCCTTCTTCTCCTTCAAGTTCCCCTCCCCATACTATCGGTCTCTAATTTAAAAGATTCAAGTTGATATGATTTTCTATATTATTTGTATTAATTTTTCATCATCATCAACAACCATGGGCTCAATGCCTGTTGGTGTCCGATACCTCCCTCACTATTGCCTTCCATCTTTCCCTGTCCAGTGTGGAGTGGCTTAGTTTCTGCAGACTAGCTCTGCACCAATCTACTATATCATCTACCCATTCTCTGTGGGGTCTGCCTCTCCTATTCGGACCATCCATTATGCCGAATAGCAGGGTCTTAACTTTTCACTCGTCATTCATTCTGCAGGTATGCACAAATAGCTGTAACTTCCATTGTATAACCTTCTTCAGTAGGTTCTCTTTGGGCTGTATCTTCTTATATAATTCCTCGTTGGTGACCTTCTGCATCCATCCTACTCTCAGGATCTTTCTATAACAACTCCTCTTGAATGGCAATATCCTTTTCTTCGAATCTTTTGTTATCACCCATGTCTCACGTCCGTACAACATGCTGCTAAATACACACGTTTTCAAGATGCTCAGTGTCGTTCCAATTGGTATTTGCTACATAGTGACAGTTCTGTGCTTCACAGAAAATATTCTGAAAAAATCTGCTCCCTGAAGACTTACAATCGAAGTTTTTCAATGTGACTACTCATACAAGTAAAGTTAAGCATGTATGTAAGTGTTTGCGTAATTGGAACTAGAATGAGGACCATGACAAATACATGAGTATTTAATATACAGTAGGAAGGAGAAGGAGGAAAAAAAATATATGAGTTACGGAAATGAGCATGTATAGTCAGTGAGTTAGGATTTATATAATTCTTGATGCTTCAAAAGCTGTGGAGAGGTTTGTTTTAAGGTGGAAACAATTTTTATCATCTTCAGAAGTCAGTTTTTAGGAATGTTTGAAAGAGAAACTATGCCTCATATAAATCATTATTTTTATTTGCTTTAATCATTGCTCCCCCTTATCCTTTCTTTCATGTGTTATCTTCATGTTCAGCGTTTGTCTAGTTTAGAGCTCTTGTTTCCAGTAATGAATGGCCCAATGTAATTGCAAACGAAGAGGCAAAATTTGGCTCACTTAGATTATTTGGTATCTTCACACAAAGGTAACCAGATAGCTAATGTGAAAAATTAGAGCAAGGGGTGGAGGAGTGGGGGAAATAGGCACCTATATAAGACAAAACCCCACATTTTAGGACTATCCCTATACAATTGGAACATCTGGTCACCCTATTTGCCATTCTACCATTTAAAAAAAATGAGATGGCTGAATATACCTCACAAAGATGTGATTTGTATAACAGGACTTACCACAAGATTGACCTATTAAAATCTCTATCTTTTCCCCATACATACAGTTCTGCAAATATAAGAATGTGACATCTTTATTTTGGTTTGCATACCCACTGATAGTCACACCATTCTAATTGCACAATCAGTTGCATAATGGTATAATAAGCCATCCATTCGTGCAGGAGTGGCCAAACTGCAGGTTGTGAGCTACATACAGCTCTTTTACAGTTAAAGTGCAGCTCATGGAGCCCCACACAATCCCCCATTCTCTGCCTTCCAGACTGAAGGAGCAGGAAGCTCAGGGCTTCTGCCCAGCAGTGGGATAATGGGATTGGGGGCTTCTGCCAGAGATAACTGGTGCCTGCTGAGATTTGGGGAACACAGTGTAAACATCCTCCCCAACAGCTTAAGTCATGCCCTCACAGGCACATACACCCTGTTACTCTGTGGCCCCTCCCTGAAACTCCCAGATGTTACCTCCCCATGGGGAGGCAGTGATCAAATCCATTCCACTTCAGCCACAGCTCCCAGCATTCCAGCTCTAGCAGCTGCAGTGCAGTGAAGGGTCCCAACTGCATCATGTGACCACATGAGGGTCACATCTGGAGAGGGAAGAAACATGACCCTGCATGTTGCCCCATGTGTCACTGTTGGCTTTTGCTCAGCAGAAGGGGAGTCTCATGGCTTCAGCAAGAGCAAGGGCTGAAGCTCTGAGCAGGCATCTCCCATGGAGCTGGCAACTTGAAACCCCCATCCCTGAAGGGTGAAGCCCTGAACCACACAGGCAGTGGCACACAGCTGAATCTCTGAGACCCTCCTCCCTTCAGGGCTGAAGCCCTGAGATTTGGCAGGCATCTCCTGTGATACTGAAGTCCCAAGCACTGGAAGAAGCACCGTGGCACTTAAACTTCTGAAGATCGTCATATGCAGCTCGGAGGGGCAATAAGTTTGGCCAATCCTCCATTAGAACTTAACATTAGTAATACAAATGTTTCAACAACTGTTAAATTACCCATGTAAACAAGTATTGTTTATAGAACCCAGGCGCAAAAAACATGCAACTGATTATCAACAACTGAAATGTACTGGTAGTAGTTTAGAAACAAGGTAATCATTATACCAATTAATCACCCCTGTAACTTAATTTTTTACAGTTTTTTAAAATTTCAAAGTAATTTACAAATATTTTGGCAGTCCTGACTCTTATTTACACCTGCTTACTCAAGAGCTGAATTTAGCCACATCAGTATTTCTGGCAATGAAATGTTAACAATTCTGTGATCACCAAGGATGTCATGGTTGCCACTATATTAGTCATTCACAGTGAGAGCTTTGGCTCCCCAACCACAATGCCCTACAACTTTAGCTAAAGGAAAATCTCTATTAGCTGATAGCAGCAATGGGCATTTGCTGTAGCATTTAGTTGAGCAATTCCAATTCCGTCCAGCAGAGGGGGAATATTACATATAATCCAGCAGCTCTCAGTCTTTCAAGACTACTGTACTCCTTTTAGGCACCCAATGTGTGTTGTGTATCTCAAGTTTCACCACTTGCTTACAAAAATCAGACATAAAATACAAAAAGGTGTATCAGCACCCTATTACTGAAAAAAGCTTATTTCTCATTTGTACTATATAATTATAAAATAAATTGACTTGAATATAAATGTTATACTTACATTTCAGTGTACGGTATATAGAACAGTATTAACAAGTAATTGCCAATATGACATTTTAATTAGTTGTGATGTGTATTTATTAAATACAGCTATTTTCTCCCTCCCTCCCCCCAGTTATTAAGGTTCAAGCTTAAATACTAAAGGACACTTCAAATTACCTCTTAAAATGTAAAATCCAGCACAATATTTTAAAGATACTGTACATTTACCATTTTAAAGCCTGGAGCACATAGCATTAGCAAAGAATTAGAGAAACCCACTGAGGCCACATCAACTTTCACTGAGTCAGCCTGGCAGGAGATAGAAGGCTGCAAGAGGTTAGGAAGCCCTTTGCCAGAACACTATTATTAACTTCTTTCTTAATTACATTTGTAAACTGGGATTGCTGAAGAAAATTTACAATTTGTTGATTTATGGCAGGAAATTGTGGAGCTAGGATATTATGGTGCTCATTAGACATTAATAGGTGTATTCTGTTCTAGAAAATATAATCACCATTAACTCCACTTGAACTCGAGGAAAGAGTATTCTCAGAGCATTTAATGAGAAGTTACTAATACCACTCGGATCAAGTCATGTCATTTTCAAGGATCTATGCTGCTGCTACCAAAATCAGGGGAAAGCCCTGTAGTGTGAGTAGTGTGGGTGTTAAGGCCACTCTGCTTTTTTCCTGTAGCCTTTTTTCTGTGGGTGTTAAGGCCACTCTGCTTTTTTCCTGTAGTGAACTCATTAGTAATAAATCTTCATAATGTTTTTAAAATAATCTTTGTAAAATTATCCTATGTATCAAATTCTAAGAAACATTTAAAAACCTTCGAGCATGTTTAAATAAAATTCTTGTTCATCCATTCTCCTAGGAATGAGTGATGTACTGTAGACCTAACTAATCAGTGCTGCAAGACCAGTGCTATTGGGGAATTTGTACACTCATATGACTGTGGGTTTTGCATTGCTGAGCAAAGTTGATGCTGTCAGGGCTGCTGCATGATGGGCAAGGAAGAGGGAGGAGAGGGACAGCTTCTTTGTTTGTTTACCATTAGCAGGGGGCATACAAACTGGCACAGTGTCCCAA